TTTGTAACAGGATTGGCAAGAGGACAATGCACACTGGGGACGTGAGGAGAAAGGCCTGTTCACATTCCTTTGCCAACATCAGTGCCAAGAAAGCTGCTCTTCACAGACCAGTCCTAAACCAGCAGTCTTTCAGCCACATTTTTCTCAGCAGCAAGTCACTGACTCCCTTTGTGACCATTTCATGTTGTGGTCTTTAACTCGCTGGCTGTTTTGCCTGGACACTGTTACCCTTGGTAGGGTGGCACTTTCCTTATCTCAGAAGTTACATGACAAGCTCAAGTGGGAACGAAAGGATTTATGTCTTTTTCCGTGGAGACTGGGGAGATGATAGAGGAAGGAACTGGTTTGTTTTTCTCCACCAGGAAAAATATAAGAGCAGTGTTTCCAGTTTTATTGATACTTCATTGTAAGTGCCCACATATGAGCAGATACGCATGGGAGTGAAAAAGTGAAAGTAAATGATTAAAGTCTTGGCAATGGGACACCACAGGGAGACAGAGAATGCTCATTTTGGGGAAAAAAGCTAAAGCTCCCCTACCAGTAATCTGATTTGATGAAGGCCTCTCATCTGGACAATGGCCAGCTGTTCTCCATTCCTCTGAGGACCTAACAAAAGGAACTGGCCCTCGGTTGCACCAGAGAAAGTTTATAAAGGAATATAAGAAATGATTTATGTGAGAGTTGTTAAGCTACTGAGAAAAATTGTAGACTCCCCTTCCCCAGAGTTCTTTAAAAGTAGTAGAGATAAGCATTTCCCATGTATGGCTTAGGTGGGTTTCCCGTGTTGTGTATGTTAAGGTGACCTCTACTCATGAGGCTGTGCTAGGATGACTAACATACCTTTAAAGATTAGCAAACAGGCTTTAGTAAGGACAGAAAATTCAGAACAGACCTCATGCTTCCACCCTAGTTGTTGCAAGTTTCTGGTCACATTCATTGCATTTCATACAACCAGTCTCAGAAACAGACATGTGACCCATCAAGAAGATGCAGAAACTAAGGCATGAGGGACAATGTGACAGCTAAAGAATGTATTAACTACAATGCTATCACTGCTTGGTTACTACATCACTCAGCAGGAGCACCAGGGTGAGTTCTTGGATCCTGAAATCCAGTGTGGTTGTGTGGCTGGCCATTCCAGGACAGGGAAACAAAGCTATTGCATACATGAAGTATACAAGAGGAATTAAGATAGAGTGAAGTATGGCATTGTGTGTGATTTCTATTTATGTGAATACAAAGTCACTTAGCCAGTTTCTGGGAATGCACTTGGATTGCTTTGGAGAGCTGTCATAGAGGAGATTACTCCATTGCATCCACTGGAACTAAAGCATTTGCTAGGATACATTGCCCTGTCCAGCACACATGAACATGAAGCAGTGTGTGTGCACTCCACATACCCTGCTGCCTCTCTCTCCAGCCACAGGAGAAGTTGGGTTGAGACTCATCTTGTGCTAAGAAACTATTGAGCAATTGGATCTTTGAGATCTCTTTCTTGACTGCATAAGGTCAAGTCTATGATTTAAAAAGGTTTATATTCAAAGTGTCTAGGCTTCATCTCTCCAATGTTTAATTCCTTGATCACTTTTAACTTTATATTATTTGAGTCCTGGAGAAAATATTAAAGAATTATCTGGAATAGCAATTCTTAACCTGGTATCCGTGGATAGTGCTGGCTCACAACATCTCTAGTCCTAAATATGGTGACCACTTCACCTAAGATTGTTTGGGACTTCCCTGGTTTTACCACCGAAAGTCCCACATCCCAGGAAACCCCTGAGTCCCAGAAAAACTGGCACGGTTGGTCACTCTAGTCCTAAATGAAATAAGGACAATGAACTCTTTCTTAAATTGGCAGTACTTGATCTAAATTCTGAAGGACAGAGAGTTTTCCTAAAGCTAAAAGCATTTAACTGAATTTTGAGAATCTGTCTTCCTACATCTTGGCTTCAAACTGTCACTTTTAAAATGAAAAATGAAATCATAGTGATAGTGATTAGTAGTATTATAGTTTATTTGATAGCTTTATTTGTCACAGATGAGGACAATCTTATGTCAGAACCCCTTCCCTTATTTCTACTATCGTCTAGGTACCACTCACTGATATAGTCCCTTTCTATGCCTTAAAGTTCTCTGTCCTTCCTACTGGTTATCATACTGTGACTTTTTTTTTTCTGAGACAGTCTCACTCTGTCACCCAAGCTAGAGTGCAGTGGTGTGATCATAGCTCACTGCAACCTCCAACTCCTGACCTCAAGTGATTCTCCTGCCTCAGCCTCCCAAGTAGTTGGGACTACAGGCATGCGCCATGATGACCAGCTAATTTTTCTATTTTTAGTAGAGACAGGGGTCTCACTCTTGGTTAGGCTTGTCTTGAACTCCTGAGCTCAAGTGATCCCCCCGCCTCCACCCCTCAGACATACCGTGACTTTTGATCTCAAGGTGATGATGATGTCCATGGGAGACATAGAGGGTTAGTTCAGACTATGAGTGGTGAGTTTGAAACAGCTAATGCACTTGTTCTGATAGTTTATGCACTATGTCAGGAGAAATTGGCCTTCCCCTTACCTTCTCTGTCTTCCCATGAAATTATTTCCCCATCAATAAACATTTTTTGAAAGTCTGCATGGGAAACCATAGGGGCTTTTAGTTGTAATACTATTGGGGTAATACTATGGGGGGAGGCTGCAGGTGAAGTGGTAAGTGATGGCTTTGCCATTGAACCACTGTGTATCCTTGGGCAAGTCACTTTGCTTTCTGAAACTCAATTTGCTCATTTGTAAATTGGGGATAATACCTTCCTTACCAACCTAAGAAGATTGTAGGGCAGAGCACTTGAGATAACAGATTTGGAAGTGATCGTGATGATGCAGCCAACAGCTGTTTGTTTATCAGCTTGTTTCCTCTCCTCCTCTGGCCTGGGCTTCTTCATCAGGAAATGAGGCCATAACCAAGGACTGCTTGCACTTTTCATAATCTTACAAACTCTAATATAACAAGCAGAGGCATTACCTCATTGTGGCCAAGCATACCTGCTTTCTAACAGCAATTACTCAAAACTAATTCCACTTCTCCCCCTGTTGGCCTTCAATCCCTCATCACATCTTTCTCTCATTCCCCCCCTTCTCAGGCACAAAGCCTCATTCCCAGGGGCCCAGCTCAGGGCACTTTCTTCCCAAGACCTAACATTCCAAAGTAAGCACCTGCAATTTACGATCTCTGCTCCCTTCCTGCACAAAACACATAGCACGAAATACATATGTATCAAGAGGGAAATTGTGGCGGAGTGAAAAAAGAGCATTATACTAAGAATCAAATAACTGGGCTCTGGTCTGGCCAGTGTACCTCACTGGCCTTTTACCCTTGGGTAAATCACTTCCTTCCCATATTCTCATCTGTGAAGTGATGTGGGGGGAGGGGAGTTAACATTGTGTGGTAGAAAAGTGCTGGCCTAGGAATCCGCAGATCAGGTTTCTGGTTCTAAGGTTGCTGCTTGCTAACTTACTCTGTGACTTGGGGAAAATCACTTCCCCCTTAACTGACCAAACTCCCCCATATATAAAACAAGAGGATTGGATTAGGTGATTCATTCAGGGTCCCTGCCATTCTAGAAATTGGATGATTCTATGAAAGAGATTTCATTAAACAAACTTGAATTGGAGTGCCTCCGCTGTGCCGGGCAATGTTCGATGGTGATTGTGAAAGGGCTCATGGCTGGGATCCCGAGAGCCCTAGTACAACTGCTGCTTGCTCCTGTCAGTGTCCCAAATTGGCAATGTGGCAGCCCCATACAATCAGTTCCTGCACTTCTCCTGCTTTGGGTACCCCCCACCCTCTTTCCCCTCCCCCATGCCACCACCTATAACTTTAAGCAATGGTGATGAATCACGGAGAAGTTTCTGAAACATACTCCGACCACCTGCCTACTGGAGATATTCACAGTGCTGTCATCAAGCTGCAGTGTGGTCTCTAGCTGCCCCAGTAGAGAAACAGGCCAGAAGGCAATGGCAGATTAATGGAGTTGGGAGGGAAGTGGTTGATTTTTGACAGAGAGGTCTGTGAAAGCCATTTGTGAGCTGCGCTGAAGAGACTAGATCTGGAAAGACTCTCAGCGTCTTGAATCTGAGATTATTTATTTCCAAAGGGACCTTGAAAGGTCCTTACAGCTATACGTTCCTGCTGCAAGGCAGAGAATGCCTGATCCTGATCTATTTCAGAGATATGAGAAGCTTTCTTGGCAGTATCCAGCAAGGGACAAGGAAGTTTTTCTTGGTGGCCAGCCTAGAGTTAACTCCTACTGGTTGGAAGGTTACCTTCCATTTGATTGTGGGAAAAGTGACTGATTAGTGCTCGCTCAGTGACAGGTATAGGGTATGAGACTAGGCACCCCTTATTTTATTTTACCCATTTCAACCTGGCTGATGTATCCCAGTTGAAAAGCCCAAACTAACACACTGTTGGACATCCTACCAAAGTCAAATGGGAACATCCTGTAACTGCATGGTTACAGGATGAGCTCTCTTTCCCTCTTATCCCTTACAGCAGGGGCAAGCCCTGTGAGTTGTCTTCCTTCCTCCTTTACTCTCCGAAAACAACTTTGTTCCTGACCCTCTTGAGACATTACCTCCTTACAGGCCTCCAAGCCAGCAAGGCCATTCAGCTAGGAGTCTGGGGGACAGCTTTATTTTCATTCTGGCTCCCTTCCTACCACTTATTCCATGCTGCATGTCAAGAGTTAAAAGCTGTCCAAGCAGGCTGGATTTGAGTTGGCAGATCAGTCACTAATTCAGTTCTATGGTTCCTTCATTGCAGCCTAGAGACCATAGAACTCTGAATCAGGCAGAAGGAAGGGAAGATGGGAAAAGTCCTGGAAAGGAGAATCCCACAGGGATCCACATGGTCCTCGAGAGAATAATCTTCTCCAGAAGCAAGGACCAAGTGGCACATAATTGAGCCCCAAGACTGGCCAGCCAGATGAAAAATAGGCCGGTGGAGCCTACATGGTAACTTTCTGCATTTGGTGCTGTGACCCAACTCATCTCCCCATCCCTGCAGAGAAACCTGAGACCATGAGGAGCAGCCTGACCCTGGTGGGAACCCTCTGGGCTTTCCTGTCTCTTGTTACTGCTGTGGCCAGTTCTACCAGTTACTTCCTGCCTTACTGGCTCTTTGGATCCCAGCTGGGGAAGCCAGTGTCATTCAGCACATTCCGGAGGTGCAACTACCCTGTGCGGGGAGAGGGACACAGTCTGATCATGGTGGAAGAGTGTGGGCGCTATGCCAGCTTCAGTGCCATCCCAAGCCTGGCCTGGCAAATGTGCACAGTGGTGACAGGTGCCGGCTGTGCTCTGCTGCTCCTGGTGGCACTGGCTGCTGTCCTGGGTTGCTGCATGGAGGAGCTCATCTCCAGAATGATGGGACGTTGCATGGGAGCAGCGCAGTTCGTGGGAGGTAAGACTGTGTTTCTGAGATTGGGTAGGTTGGGGAGCTTTGGGCAGGGAAGTGTGGAGAGTGTGGTCATATGGGGAAATCCGTTCTCACCTCCTCCACTTTGTCCAACTCTAAGGCTGTGAATGGGGTCTCTTTTAAAATATCTAGTCTAGGACTTCCCAAAGTGCAGTCTATATCAGGGTTTTATTCACAGCAAACTTGGCTCATAGGCAGAGTTGATAACTGCTGTTTTGCCTCATTTTTGTCACCTTCTGCCTGCAGGGCACCCATTTAAGAATATTATCCAAGTCTGCCTTCCAGGGGCAGCAACATATACTCTAGTATTACTGCTCCAGTACAGACTTGATCTCTATGAGCCCTGCTCTCTGGTAGTTATCTCAGAGAACAGTGATCCGATAAACACATACACACAAGTACAAATTATTAATAGCTCTTACCAAAGAAATATCTCTAATAGTGAAATGCTAGGTACCGGACAAACTCTAGATGACAGCTTATTTGGCCTACATCTAAGGCTAGCCCTGTCTGGCAGCCATTAATAGTCTACCCAGATTGCTTATGATCCTTCCCCACCTAACTTGTCTTTTCCCTCATTCAAGCTCCCCCTAATTTGAGTGCAGGGAGCCTGGGATGCTGGCAGTGCGTGCATAGGCTAGGAAAGAGCAAAATCAAAAACAGCAGACTACAGGAAGGCCATAAGAGCAGTTAAATTTGAACTGTCTGAGAAGAAAAAAAAAAGCAAGTTTAGAAAGACAGGCAAGTATGTGCATGAACATTTGAGCTATTTTGCAAAACCTGGATGGGGTGCTAGGAAAAAAGTGCTAGTAAAACCTACTGCTCTACTGCTGAAGTTTGTCGTTGTTACAGAGTTCTGGAATCATTATCCAATTCATTATCATTAGCATTCATTCTTCTTCTCTCCAATGACTGCATTCAGGTGGCCTTGAGCTGAGATAGTAGTGATGAGCTAAAGCAGTGGTTCTCCACAGAAAACATTTGGTAATGTCTAGAGACATTTTTAATTATCACAACTTGGGGAGGGTGCTACTGACATCCAGTGGGTAAAGGTGAGGGATGCTGCTAATCATCCCACATTGCACAAGAAGAGGACACCCCCTCCACAAAAAAAAGTATCCAAAGTGACCCAAAATGTCAATTGTGTAAAGTTTGGGAAAGCCTGGGCTGGGTTATCATGGTTTTCTGGCCTGCTTATGAAAGCATCATCTTCTTTTTGTAGTGACAGTTAAGGTAAGGCTTTCTGATTTTCTCATTCCTCAGGCTCCTTGTAAAAGTTTTAAATCTGAATTACCATTCTAGCTTTCCTCATCTCTGAATTTTCCCACTCTTTAGCCACTGGTTTTTTGGCCACATTGGAAAGTAGAATTAGGTTAGTTTCTTTCTTCCCTTTGAAAACCATGGTACCAAACCAGATGCTAAACCTGATCTAAGCCAATGATCTTATCTCTCTTTGGGAGCTCCGTGGGTATCACAAATGAGTCTTACTTTAGGCTCACCTTTTGCCTGTATTCTTGGGCATGCTATAGTTAACTCAGCATATCCACAGACACATTATTTCAGGAAGTCACACTTGGCCGGTAGGAGAGAGGGATGGTCTGTGCAATTCATATTGATATCTCTGAGACCAGCCCAGCTCAGTGCCTGGCACAGAGCGATACTCAGTAACTGTAGAAAGAATGAATGCATGGCTAAAGTAATATCTAGCCATGTTGGGGTAAGTTAAACATGTGAGAGTTAGGTTTGTTCACATCCTTTCCTTTTCTTCTAGGCTTCCGTTCAGGGCTCTTAGCACCCTTCTTTTCTGACATGAGAATAACAACTTAACCTCACTTGCATTTCTAAGAGTTTCCAGCAGAGAGTGAGGAGGAACTAACTGGCAGGAATCAAAGGCCCCTAGCAACAGCCATTCCAAGCATAAATAGTGGCTCCTACTTCAGCTTGCTTCTTTTTGGGGCTTGGCTGAAATTTTTACAAAATCCTCATGGTTTTCCATATAATACACTTCAGTTGATCTCACCTAGTAAGTCTAGAAACTCAAGGGAAATCATTGAGGGAGCAAATGGGAAGGTAATAGAGATTTGGACATTCACGGGCTGGGCAGGACAGGCTTTGACTGAGAGGCAGGTGTCATATAGAGGAAATCAAGACATGAGTACTATGTTAGTCCCATATGATTCTGCCATTCTGTATTCCTCATGACCCTTGCTCATAAAACACAGTCACATTGTTTACAAATAGATGGAGATATTTAAAGTTCAAGAATAAAGTACTATTTGTCAGTAGTCCTAGAAAGACTTGGGACCCAGAGTGTGCTACTGGGTTTATCCCTGGTTAAGGGAATGATATTGGGGCAGATTACTAGACCTCCACAGCCTCCCCATCTGTAACACCAGCCAACAAAGAGCCATTCCTGTCTCCCTTTTAGAGACTTGTGGCTGTTGAAATTATATCAGATGTGAAAGAATGGTGAAGACTGCTTGGATGTACGATATTTTCTAGAAGCCCTTTGGCATATGGCCATTATTGCCTGAGGCTCTTGGAAGATCTTTGGTATGATCCTTCAAGGAGGGCTTTGCCAGTGGCAGAAATCCAAGCCTGGGCAACATTTTGAGCTCCATGGATAAAAGATACATGAGAAAGAACTGTGAGGGTTAAGTTCAAGCTTGTTGTTCAGACGAGAGGAATTGATTTTGTTGCTCCAGGCCCGGCTGCTTCTCGGCAGCTAGTGCATTAACCGAAATACATCAGGGGAGGAGCCAATTTGTTTCGGATCTGGTTTCTCTCTGCCAGACCCCAAACCACTGAAAAGATGGAGTATCCATTAAGAACTATCCCCTCCCCCTGCCTGACTCTTGTTCCCCAGTCTGGCGGCTGCCCACAGAGATGAGTGGTGGGAAGTGGGAGAGACAGGAAGAAATAAAGAGCTGCTGGCCTGACTCATACTCAGCAAGGTGACCTGATGGGGCCCTTGGGTCCCATTTGCTCCACCTGCAGCTGATCCAGCTGGACAAGCCGAGGGTCCAGAGAGCCTTCCACTGGGACCTTCAAGCCCTGTTCCAATCACTGAAGGAAACATCTGGCCAAGAGATTATTTCAACCCTGGGGATCCTGAGGTTTCCAACCAGCTGGCTCGCGGTCCCTGAGAACATGGCCATTATTCACATTCCCTAGTGTATATACATATGCAAGATGCTTGTGAATTATCCTCTATCTTCAGTGAGAGCTAAACAAAGAACAAATAGGTGACAAGTAAATATAAGGAACTTCTTGGCAGGAAAAAAGTGTAAGATCTTGGATTGGGTTACTTGAGGGAGGCCAAGAATCTTTCTGGAGCAGGGAATGTGTCAGAATCACCTGGAGTGCTTAAAAAAATGTGAGCTCCCCAACTCTCCAGTCTCCCTGTCTATTCTGATATATACAGTGACAGGTGTCGGCTACACGTGTAGAAAAATCTCCCCAATGATCCTGATGTTCATGCATGTTCCTTTTCCATAGCCCAGGGAGAACCCCCACCCTGAGCATTTTTGGTTGGTTTGTTTGTTTTATTTTAATTTTTTTTGTTAAGGTGACAGAATTCAACACACCTAGACAGGCACCAGTGCTTTTCACCATGTAAGGTCTTAATGCTACATGCTTCAAGCTGAATAAAAGTTGTCATTGGACACATATCACTAAGAACTTGATTCCAGGAAGGGTGCTAGGTTTCTAAAAAACCATTCTCTTCTCTGGAAACCATGCATTTCCTGGAAAATCCTCCAAAGTTTCATGAGACATCATTTCATTTATCCTTACTGTGCTGAGCAAGAATTATAAAAGTGATTTTGTGTTTGGGAAATAGTACTGAAGGAAATTAACCTACTAGCAAAGACTCGTGTAGTAAATTGTAGCAGAGCAGAGTATATGATCCAGGGCTTTTGACTCCCAGTTCTGTACTTTCTGCACTGGTGCTCTGGATTTTTCTTTTTTCCTTTGGGAAAGAAATGCTATCACAGTATTTTTCAGATAGGTGCGTGAACCACTTGCTTAAGAATTACCTGGGATGTTTGTTAATGCAGATTCCTTAGTGCTCAGACTCAACCAGGGTCTGCTAAAATACATTTTACACAGTCTCTCAGGCTCATATCTTTTTGAAAATACATTATGATATATTTCAGGTGTATTCTCCACTTAGTGTGACAAATAGAATATTACCAATACAGTTAAAGCCTCCTTCATAGCCTGATCACATTCCCTTGTTACTACTGTCTTGGATTTGTTACCTATCATTCCCCAGCATTCTTCCAGTAGACACTAAAATTTGAGAAACTCTGCTCAGCTTTGCTTATGGGGTTGCTGCTTTCTGGAATTCCCTTTTCTTCCATCTCTGCCTGTAGTATCCATCGATCTCTCAAAGGCCAGGTCCAATGCAGCCTTTCTGTGAAGCCTCCCCTGCTCTACTTTTCACATCTCTAGCAGATGTGAACTATCCTGTAACTATGAGAGAGAATATGAGGTTGACTAAATGGAGGGAGTGAGTTAGGGAGTTCCCTGTGAAGGAAAAGCTGAGATATAGTTGGAGGACAGGTTTTTAAATTTTCCACTAAGTTATATTTGAGTTGAAGTTGCTATAAAAGATATAAACTGAGCAAATTAATAACAAATTAACCCATATTGGGCTTCTTCTTGGAGTAGTAAATCCAAGCTGCCTAATAATCATGTTTGGAAAAGAGAGTTGGCAGCCATGCAAAGATGGAGGACTTGGGGATGAAAGTGGGGAATGTAACAAAATGGTTGCCATTCAACAGTTGCACTTGTGAATGGGGGAGGGGGAGGAGAAGGAGGTTGATAACATTCAGTAAGGAGGCTATCCTTTCCCAGAGACAGAGATTAGGCATCTACCTAATTGAGAATGTGCAGTTGGGAGAGGATTGTGCAGCTGTCAGCGTATGGGGAGGTAGTAATTCTGGGAGCAAGAGAAAGTTGAGGGCAGCTGGGATGTAGCCGCAGGGAGGGTTCCAACTCTGCCTGAGATTTTGCACCTGACATTTTGTACTGATGTTGAAGTTTCCACAAGGGCTAAAACTGAGTAAAGTGTGCAACTCCAGGCCTCTTCTTGGTCAGCTCAGTAAATCCAAACCACAACAACCACATTTAGGGAGGAGATTTGGTACACTTTGTGATGGAGGATTCTTGTGGAGGGGAGCAGCTGAGGAAGGGAAACAAGATGGCAGCCTATTGGACATCTGCCCATGTGTCATAGGGGAGTAAAGATGGCAACACAGATGGTAACACACTCTAAAGGGCTTTCTTTCCCTTCCTAGAGGCAGGCGAGAATATGAAAGTTCCCAGCTGAACATATGCAGTAGGGACAGACTTCTCCAAGGGGCATACGTGGTTGGAGGGGCAGTAAAACTGGGAGTTAGCAATGACACAGAAAAGAAGCAGGAGCCAGGCCTACGGCTCATATATGGCAGAGCTGGAATTTAAACGAGTTTTCTCTGCCAACACATCTCCTGCTCTTAATATTTTTGGTGGTGTTTTTCTTAAGTGTTGGTACCAGGACCAGATGCCTCAACATCACAGGGTGCTTTTAATATGCATACTCCTGGGCTGCAGTTACTGAATCAAATACCTGGGGCTGCAGCCCAAGAATCTAAAATTTTAATAAGCTTCCACTCTTCCAGAAGGTGGCAGGGCCTAGCACTGGCAAAGAACTTCCCTATTGCTATATGAAGCACATCTTTACAACCCCAAATTGATGAGAACTGTTGGGGACAAATGTAATTGAGGATGAACTACCCTATGACTTCATTTTTAGTTTGAATGTGTTCCCCAAGGCATCTTTCTCCAGCCACTATCAAATGTAATGGAATCAGCTATCAGTTACAAGTCAAATATCTCCATGAAGTATGTGTAAAACCTAATATGCTCATCTGTCTAAAAGGCAGGATGGAGGGCTGAGGGGATGGAAGGGTGGGAGGGCAGGTTGGGCAGAGCATGGAGCTACGTGCACTGGAGCAGAACACATGCTTTTCAGAGATTCCTGGTCTTTGAGCAGATGCCTCTGCAAAATTGCAAGATAACTCCAACCAGGCAGCTTTTGAATGAAGCCCTGTTCAGTTTTTGACTTTTTAGCTGATTTTTATGGGGGACAAACAGGTAAGGAAGAAATTAGCATAGGGAATACAGGTGGAAACTGAGAGAGGAGCCACAGGGAGAGGCAGCTGTTTAATAATAATAAATCTTTGTTGAGCACTTTCTATGTCCCAGGCACTTTATGTATATTAATCTCATTAATCCTCAGAACAGCTCTGTAAAATAGTCAGCCCTCCATATCTGAAGGTTCTGCACTTGTAGATTAAACAAACCACAGATGAAAAATATTTGAAAAAAAATAATAAAAAATAATGAAAATAAAAATACAGTATAACAACAATTTACATAGCATTTACATTTCATTAGGTATTATAAGTAATCTAGAGACTATTTATAGTATACAAGAGGATGTTCATAGATCATACTCAAACACTATACCATTTTATGTAAGGGACTTGAACATCTGCAGATTTTGGTATCCATGGGGCTTTTGGAACCAATCCACTATGGATATCAAGGGACAAATGTATTATTATTATTCCTATTTTAAAGATGAGGTAACTGAGGCACAGAGAGATTAAATAACTTGCCTGAAGCCACACAGCATCTCAATGGCAGAGCTGGAATTTAAATTTAGGTATAGCCTGACTACAGAACACATTCTCTTATGTCATCATGTTATACTCTCTCTCCCATCTAATGCCTGCAAAATTCCTTCTAGAGATATTGTTGCCACAAGGTAGTTGTTCCTTGACACATATCTCTAGAAGGACAGAGCCTCTAAGGGTTGATGATCTCTTTGATCAGTGGGAAAAACTGTTGCCAGTAACTGGCTATGTGGCCTTGGGTAAATCACTTTCTCTCTTTGGGTCTCAACGTCCACATCTGTAACAAGAAAGGATTGGAATAGGTAATCTCCAAAGGCCTTTTCCTCTCCAAGGTCCTTTGACTGTATCAGGCATCTTGGATGATCTCCCAATCCTGCCACGGAAGTCCTTTCAGAAGGCTTTCCCTTTGGGCAGTGTGGGCAAAGGAAGCTATCTGTTACATAGGCTGTGCATACTTGGAAACAGATGCATTTATTGAGCACTTATTATGTCCCAGATACTAAGGATACAGAGTTGTTGATAAATATGGCCCTTGCCTTCAAGGAACACACACTATAGTGAGCAAAGCAGATGACAAACTGTTGTGGGGAATATATGTTACAGGCTGTTTTAGTCACAGGAGTAAGCACAGGGTGCTACAGACACAGAGAAGAGGAGCTTGTAACTTAGCCCGGGGGTTGGGGATGGTGAGAGGTGGCTTCCTGGAGGAGGTAATCCCTGGCCTGAGCTCCTTAGCATGGTAAGGTCTGAGGAGCACGGAGGCTAAAGAGAGTGGAAGATCTCCCCTACTGTACCAGGAAGGGCACTTGTGTAGCTCTAGTTTCTGCTTGTGAGGTCAGAGTTCATGCCAGTCCCAGGGATCTGAATGTGGAGGTTGGAAAACAGAGCTGATGTACTTTTATCAACTTGTGTTCTTTTCTTCCTAGTCTGTGTGGGAAAGCTCAGTCTTCATTAACTCTTCCCTCAAAGGGTATATACTGGCAACAGGGAAAGGCTTAGGTTTCATTTCCAGTTTTGTTCTTCACCTATTGTGCATACTCTGGACTACCTCCTCATATCATAGAATTTCATTTTATCTGTGGTGAAAAACAGTGTTGTTGTATTACCACTGGATGAATTCCAGAGCCTAGCAAGGTCTTTGAGTGACCAGTTTCATTTCCTGTGAGACTACGAAACAGATAAGATTGCTTTCTAATTTTAAGCATTCCACCGAAAGGAATTTGTAACCTTAATTGGTCATTCTTTTAGTTTCTAAAACCTTTCTCGCTGTCAATCAGTTTTCCCTATTTTCTTGTTTAAACACTTTTTGCTGTTTCTTAAGGTCTTTGTCTTCTCCTGTGGCCTCACTGAATATTGAGAAAATCTGGTTACCGTGTGACAGACAAGCTTGGAGGCTACTTTGAGATCTTCTTCCTAAGGGATTCATCTGAAGGCAAAGTGGGCTTATTAGCTTCTTAGGTTGTATATAGACTCTTCCTTAGTAAGGAAAGAGAAGCGAAGCTGAAGCCTCAGTCCCTTGAGCAGGCTGCCTTTCACTGTCCAGTTGAGCTCCAGAGTGCTGGAACCTACAAATATGCCATTCATTCATCATTGATCAAGCAGCTGCTCTGTAGCTGTTCTGTGTTACATGTTATTCTCTACACCCACATTCAGGGCAGGTGTCCCCCCATGACCCTTAATGTGGCAAGCAAGTATAGTGTTCTTGTAATTAGGCTCTTTTGTTTACAAGTAGCAGACACTCACTTGAGTTCTCTCAATGAAAAGGGAGTTTATTATAATGTAAGGAAAGTGGAATTGGAAAGACATCAGGAAGGACTGGCTTCTGTTTTCTCTAGGAAGTTTTTCTAATGGTGTGTCTGCTTCATTCTACTATTCTCCTCTATTCTCTCCCTCTACCAATCAGTTTTCTCAGCCTACCCAGAATTGAGGTCCACTCATAACTTTGGATTGAAGTTGGCTTCAGCTTGACACAGACTTGATTCTATCTACTGGTGTTTTTTTTCCCCCAAACTTCTGCATTATCTGTTAACTAGCTCAGCATCTCTAAGTTTCTTGACTAAAATTTCCAGAAACAAGAATCTAGTCTGGCTCATCTCTTCGTGCCAGGCTACAGTGTCATCATTACTGGCCAGCCAATGAGTGTGGTTGTTTTGTGTCAGATGCCAGTGCTTGAGCCAATCCTCTGTAGCCAGAGGCAGGGTGGGGGCATAGGTTATAAAATGTGAAAACCTAGGCGGTAAGAAAGAGTTGTGGGAGCAGTTGCCCTTAGAAGGCAGTGTTGGCAAGCAGACCCAGATTTGTATCTCTGGTGGGAAGAGTAAGATTACTTTACTGAGCTAAGGTCCCACAGAGGTCCCATGCTAAGGTCCCATGGAGTTTCCCTGCAGTGACTAAATGACCTAAATAAAAAGGGAATAAAGGCAAAGGACACAGTGGAAGGCATAGGAAGCCAAACAAGGGAGGAATGCTTGGCATAAAACCGGAATGATTTCTCAGGGAGGAGGGAGTGTGGTGCCCTGCTCACCAGGAGAAGCTTACTCAACATATATGCTCTCTGGAGATCTCAGTTCAGCAACTGACTCCAAGTTTCCAAGTTACAGAAATCGTAACCTAATTTCAGCTAGTAGGGACCTAACTGGTGCTTAGAAAAAAAGCTGGATTTTAGGAGGAGTGGTCTCTACATTGTTATTATCTGTAAACCAGACCAAGGTAGAAGAGGTTGGAGAAGCCGACCTAGCTTTGTAAGTCATTGTAAAAAATATTTTGGGTGTAAAAAGTATATTGGCTTGTCTCAATTTCCAGTATTACCCTTTCTTTATGAGTTGTCCCCTCTGCTATCTACTGTACCCCACCACCTATGGCATGGCAAAGAAATCCTGTTGAGTTGACAGTATCATAGAAATGTAGGGTAAAGGGCAAGTGTAAGTTCTGAGTGGAGGAGGCAGAATTTGAGCTGAGCTAATCTAGAGGGAATGTTGGGGTGAGAGAAGACATGTTATATTTTTCTCTACCTGTGTGTATGCTTTTCTTTCCAGGACTCCTGATAAGCTCAGGCTGTGCCTTATACCCCTTAGGATGGAATAGCCCGGAGATAATGCAAACATGTGGGAATGTCTCCAATCAATTTCAGTTAGGTAAGGTGGCCTGGGCAGGATGACAGTGACGGTTCATGGGAAATCTGTTTTCCCTCCTCTTGGAGGGTCCTCTGCTTGCTAATGGTACTTGCCTGAATCTCTCTCACCCTGTTAGCTTGTGGGAAGTGGTGGCTTGGCCAAACACATCTGGCCTTGTTAACTCACAAGGGTAGGCTCTAAATTCCACATCTTTAACTATCATTTCACACCATTTATGCACTTTTTCCCAGAGATTTTTGATCAGTTTGGGGCAATCCTATGTTCAGAGAGATTTAAAATACTTGGAGACTAATTATCTGCCATCTTCTGAGTAAATTCTAGTTCCTACTAGTGTTTCTTTTTAGGCACTATTTTCCGAATGTAAATCAACAGTATCTCTTATCAGTCTCCACTGAGGATGTAACAAGAGGTAATGTAGTTTACATGAAGCACGAGGAAACTAGATTAAATATTGGAAAATGTTCCTAATGGCAAGAGCTGTTAAATATTATAACGGGTGACATAAGTAGCCCTGGACAATTCTCTGGTTGCCAACTCTCACTGAGAATGGCTTAGATTCACTACTGTGAATTGGTAATGGATTAGACTTTAATTGGAAGCTTCAAAATATTTCCCAAACCTATCATGATGGAAGAGAGTAGCAGTGGAAACGTCTAGGTTTCCTCGAGTATTCTCAATTGTACAAAAGGATTTGGGAACAATGAGACCACCTATCCACATATAGCTTGTGCTGCCATACTTCCTTTTTCTGTTTTTTGAGTCTCACCTGACCCATTTTTGGAGGAAGGAGTTGTTCTCTGTATAAACATAACATGAGGGAAGGTGTAACAAGCATGGATCCTAGAATGTCCAGTGTTCTTGACTCAGGGCAAGGCAGGTTAATATAACAATTCTACCATAGGTAAAGGAATGAGTAAATACTTGGAGCAAGTGCTGAAGAAAAGGGAAGAAAGCCACTGGTCTTGCTAGCTGGGATACAAGCTGAACATTTAGCACATTTCTCCTACTTTGTTGTGGGACTGATTCTATTTTTTAAAAATAGCAGCTTTATCGATATATAACCCAGATACCAAAATATTCACTCTTTTAAAGTGTATAATCAGTGGTTTTTAATATATTCACAAGGTTGTTCAACCATCACCACTATGCAATTACAGAACGTTTTCATCAGCCCCTAAAGAAACCCCTTACCTGTTAGTAGTCAATGCCCATCTCCCTCTGCTCCCAGGCCCTGGTAAACCACCGTCAATATGGATTTACTTATTCTTGACATTTTATATAAGTGGACTCATATATTACATGTTTTTTTGTGTCTGGATTTTTTCACTTAGCAGAAAATTTTCAAGATTCATCCATGTTGTAGCACTAGTTAGTACTTTATTTCTTTTCATGGTTGAATAATATTCTATGGCATAGATATAACACATTTTGTTTATCCATTTTTCAGTTGGTGAATACTTGAGTTGTTTCTACTTTTCGGCTATTAAGAATAATGTTGCTATGAATGTGTACACATCTTTGTCAACATATATTTTTATTTTTGGGGGGTATATATCTAAGAGAGAAATTGCTGGGTCCAATAGTAACTTTATGTTTAAGCCATTTGAGGCACTGTTAGGCTATTTTCCAAAGTGATTGCACCATTTTACATTCCCACCAGCAATGTACAAAGGGCTTCAATTTCCCAACATCTTCACTAATACTTATTTTGCATTTTTTATGATAGCCATCCCAGGGGATATAAAGTGCTATCTCATTGTGGTTTTGACTTGCATTTCCCTGATAACTGATGATGTTGAGTGTCTGTTCATGTACTTCTTGGCCATATCTTTTTTTGTATACAAATAATATACAAACTTTTATTCAAAGGTAATTCAAGAAAGACATGTTTTAGTCATTTTTAAAGTGGGATTAATTGAAGATCTCAGAAAAATTATATCTGATGAACATACATGACTACTCACAGAAAGTTCTCTCTTCTGTTAATAGCAGCTAAATTTGTACACACAGAAAAAATTCTTAAGACCATGCAAATGTCGTTTCTACATCTTCTTTGGAGAAATATGTATTCAAATACTTTGCCTATTTTTAACTGGGTTATCTGCCTTTTTTTTTGCTGCGTTGTAAGAGTTCTTTATGTATTCCGTACAAGACCACTTTCAAATGTATGATTTGCAAATATTTTCTCCCATTTTGTGGCTTGTCCTTTCACTTTCTTGATAAAATCCTTTAAAGTATAAAAGCATTTAATTTTGATGAAATCCAATTTATCTATTTTTTTCCTTGTGCTTTAAGTGTCACATCTAAAACTACACTGACAAATCCAAGATCATGAAAATTTACCCCTATGTTTTCTTCTAAGAGTTTTATAGTTTTAGCTCTTATATTTAGGTCTTTGTTCCATTTTGAGTTAACTTTGTGTATAGTGTGAGGTAGAGGTCCACATTCATTCTTTTGTATGTGAATATCTGGTTGTTCTAGAACCATTTATTAAAAAGTCTGTTATTTCCCCCCATTGAATGGTCTTTATACCCTTTTTAAAAATCAATTGCCCATAAATGTAAGGAACTTTTAATTCTATTCCATTGATATATAAGTGTATCCTTTTGCCAGTACCAAAGTGTCTTGATTATCATAGCTTTGTAGTAAGTTCTGAAATCATGTGAGTCCTCCTTTTTAAAGACTATTTTCGCTATTCTGGGCTCCTTGCTTTTCCATGTCAATTTTAGGTTTAGCTTGTCAATTTTTACACAAAAGTGAGCTGATATTTTGATAAGGATTGTGTCGAAACTGTAGATTAGTTTGAGGAGTATTGCTATTAATATTAATAATATTAAGGTTTTTCAATCCATGAACATGAGATGATTTTCCACTTAGTTTGGTCAGCTTTAATTCCTTTCAATGATGTTTTGTAGTTTTCACTTACTTGGTTAAATTTATTTCTAAGTATTTTATTGTTTTTTAAATTTTTCATTTTATTTTTAATTGAAAAATAATAATTGTATATATTAACAGGGTACAATGTGAAGTTATTCCACATGTATATATTGTGGAATGATTAAATCAGGTTAATTAATACAAAATTGTTTTCTGTGTTTCTAACTTAATTTAATTTTATTTTCAGATTGCTTGTTGTTAGTGTGTATAAATACAGATGGTCCCCGACTTACAATGGTTTGACTTAAGATTTTTTGACTTTACAATGGTACAAAAGTGACACACATTCAGTAGAAACTGTACTTCAAATTTTGAATTTTGATCTTTTCCTGGGCTAGAGATTTGCAGTACTATATGCCCTCATGATGCTGGGCAGCAGCAGCGAGCCACAGTTCCCATTCAGCCACATAATCACCAGGATAAACAACCCATACTCTGTAGTGTACTGTGTTGCCAGATGGTTTTGTCCAACTGTAGGCTAATGTAAGTGCTCTGAGTATATTTAACATAATCTAGGCTAAGCTATGATGTTTGGTAGGTTGGGTGTATTAAATGCATTTTTGACTTACGATATTTTCAAATTATGATGGGTTTATCAGGATGTAACCTCATTGTAAGTCAAGGAGCATCTGTACAAATGATTTTTGTATGTTTACATTGTATCCTGCAACCTTGCTGAACTCCTTTATTAATTCTAATGATTTTCTAAGTGAATTCCTTAGGATTTTCTATATATAAGATCATATTATCTGAGAATAGAGGTGGTTTTACTTCTTTTTTTTCCAAACTGAATGCCTTTTGCTTCTTTTCCTTGCCTAATTTCCCTGGCAAGAACTTCCAGGACAATGATGAATAGAACCAGTGAGAGTGAAAATCCTTATTTTATCCCTGAATTTAGTAGTGAAATACCAGTTTTTCACCATTAAGTACTGATGTTAACTATGTTTTTTTTTGTATAGATGGATGACCTTTATCAAGTTGAAGAAGTTCCCTTCTGTTCCTAGTTTATTGAATGTGTTCATCATGAAAGGGTATTGGATTTTGTCAAATGCTTTTTCTACATCTACTGAGATGATCATGTAATTTTTGTCCTTTATCCTTTTAATATAGCACATTTCATTGATTAATTTTCATATGTTAAACTAACCTTGCATTTCTGGGATAAATCACGTCCATGGTGTATAATCCATTTTATTTGTTGCAGGATTCAGTTTGCCAGTATTTTGTTGAGGCTTTTTGCATCTATATTTATTAAGAATATTGGTCTGTAAATTTCTCTCCTTGTAATGTGTTTGTTGGATTTTGGTATTAGGGTAATATTGGCTTCATAGAGTAAGTTGCTATGATTCTACTTTGATTCATGTAAAATACCAAAGTAAAAAATTGGATATGTGATTTGCATGGAGTTTTCCAACTTTATTTTCTGCCCTAATCACCATCCCTAAGGACCTAGTTCACAAATGGGCAGTTCTGTGGTGGCTGCCTCTGTTCCAAGTTAATGGCCTTCAATTATCTTTTCTACAGGATCATTATTATTCTCTTTCTTCTTTTACTCATTTTTTTGGTATCGTTCCTTCTCCATTACATTCTCTTTCAGTTATGCTTCTCTCCTGAACCTTATGTCTCCTGAGGTTTCTAGCTCTCTTCTCCTCAGTGCATTGGATACTGTGTTGTTCTGTGAATCCTTAAGGAATTAAGGGATGACTGAATCCTGCTTGAGTCAAGCCCAGAGGTTCCTTTTCTGAACTACTTTTCAATCCTTTCAACTGCATAAGTGCCTATCATCCCTCTAAGGCCCACATTTCCTGTCTATATTCTCCATTTTCATGCCTCTATATTAGCACCTTTCTGGTTAATGCTGAAAAGAGTAGAAACCTGTGCCATCCTTGATCCTTTCCTGGTCAATTTTCCAAACATACAAGATCTGTCCAAACAGATTAACAGTTGTTCCCTTGAAAAGTGGAGGTGCCAGGAGCAAGAACAAAACAGTCAGTAGAATTAAAAAGAATATTTTATGATGTGTTGGGAATGCCACACTTGGGATTGCCAAAACTTGGGAATGC